TCACAATCACGAAAAAAAATGATGAGAGCTAATCTTAAAACTAACAAATCTTAGTTTTCAAAATATATATATATATATATATAGATCTATATATAGTATATAATATCTATATATAATATATATATATATATATATATAATATATATTATCAACAAAAATCATAAACTCAAACAAATGCACACAAAAATATTGTCTCACATAACACAATACAATCACTTGTGATTTAGCATGGGAATTGAGTTGCCTATCGCACCACTTACCAATGGTCATTACTTTCCATTATTCCTCATCGGAAGCCTCGACAAGTTATATGGTTACTTTTCCATTACTCTCTTAAGAGTCTCGAGGAAGTTCACCTTTCGGTAAACTACTCCGAGTTACACTTATCAACACTGTCACCGTTCATCCACCTCAGCAGTTACGCACACACAAACATAAAAAGACCTTTATATAAATTCCAACTTTAAAATTCATAATTTAAAAATAAAACTTCCCATAAAATATCATCTTTCTCAACAAATCTTGACCTATTCAAATAAAGTTCTTTTAACCTTCAAAGAATGAAACCAAAAATAACCCCAATTTAACTCAACTCATCATGTTAGACTACAAGCAACAAGGCAAGAAAGAAACATAATAGATGTAAATTCCCCTAACCTCTTTACTCTTACACTTCTTTTCATTCTTTTCCGTAAAAACTCAAAAAGTTTTCCCTTTTTCCTTGACTTGCCATTGTTTCTATTAAAGCTCTCTCCCTAACCTTTTCCTTCCATATATTTATAAGCCTAATCTTTATAATGGAATGTTAAGACATATTCATCAGAACCATTTATTTTGAAAGTTTACAAAATCATCCACGAAATAGTGTTTATCGCAGAGACAATCTAGGATAACTCACTAAACAGTATCTCGCTAAACTCTATCCTAAACGCTATAGTAAAATGTCTATTGTTTAGATTCGATGTCTCTAATAATCAGAGCGAATAATTCTCTCCTTATTGTTGTGCCCTTTTAGCTGTGCAAATCCTACCAAGAACGAAATGTTATATTTTAATTTTTGTGCTGATCCAAAAAAAACGTTAAGAGATATAAGCATATTCTAGGAATGTTTTTTTTGGCTGCTTTTTGCCTCATCATTCGTACAACAACGTAGTATTTCTCTGAAATGGAAACAATGATTCGTTGTCAATCAGATTCTAGTAGGCAATCCAAATCTCAGTTTTTATATTAGTAAAATTAACTTAATCAAAACTATCCAAGATAAAACACAGTACAAGAAAGCTGCCAGCCGAAATTCAGTGTGTTTATTTACATAAATTACTTGGAACAATTCACAACTGCTTTGATTTCTAATTACAATTATATCAAGTAATTACCATGACTTGTTTTAGTTAAAGTCAAAACTTCCACATCAGTGCAACAATATCATATGATGTCAAATCAAAGCATCACCTAATTTCCAATGAAATTGAGGTTGCAGTTATGCCTTCTTGAATTATACTATTAGAGAGATTTACTTAGTAAAACCATTGAAATTCGCATACATCTTCATATTTATTTCCAGAAAAAAAGAAAAAAAATTTAAGAGTAAGAATAATTGTTTTTAGAGAGCTTCGGGGGCTGCGTAGCATTTTGACAGTGAGAAAGCCAAATAGCCATACCTTTCAAGATGTGAAAAGTACGTAAAAAATTTCAGTTCATGTTTCAGTATCTTTCTCTCTTTTCACTTCAGTTCAGTCATCTAAGAAAACTCATACTCGTACTGACGATTTAGAAGCAAAATCACAAAAACTGCATGCATCTTAAAATACAATAAAGGAAGATAACTTATTGAGTTGTTGAAATTTTATTTTAGTAAATAGGATATTATCTTGATGGTTGCTGCCAAGATCCATTGGCTGCCTGAACAAATTGTTGAGTGAAGACTGATGTGAGAGATCCTCTCAATCAAATGCAGCCAAAACAACTTCTTTGCCTTGAAAGGAACTACAGCCCCCCCCCGCCCCACCCCCCACCCAACCCCCCCCCTGACATATGATGTAATCTTTGTAGAATTACACTTGTTGGTTCTTTAATTCCTAAATACCTTTTCATATTGACTTGCTCTGTTTCTGATTCATTCTTAAAAATTATCATTTAAGAGATCTTCAGAAACACCGTAGGACGCAAGCCTTTATAGCCTCTACGAACTAACGCAGTTTTTTCTGCTTTTGTAGACTCAAATATTGGAAGATGTTTTGATAATTGTCAATATGTGTGTCATCAATTGCTCTTCAAAACCATTTTGTATTGAGAATAAAACTTCTAGTTCATGAAGCTCCCTTAGATGCATTATAAAGATCCCGCTCAATCTTCTGTGGTTCCAAAGCATAGCCAGAAACACATTTAGTACACCTCTTGCTGTTGCTGACTGCACAAAGCAGTCCAATTTAGGGTGATCCAATAACAGATCATGTCTCAAGAATAAACATACAACCTTCACTAACAAAGAATACTTTTCTCACTCCATCCATCATTTCTTATCACATTCAACTTTTGTGTAATGCACCAGGCTGTCATCCCCAACTCGCAAAATAGCGCCACTTAGAACCATGATAAGATCATCACATATATGATTTGAGATATTTCCGCAGTAGTTGCAACCAATCTTCACTTTGGTTTGGCAATGATTTCAGGAGTCCATCTTAGTTGCTGAGGCATGTTGCCACTCACAGGATGTAGATTTCACAAGAAGTTTCTCATGCAACCTTGATGACAGGAAAGAATGTGTGTGCCATCTGTTTCGGCAATGTAACAAGCTTTCTATGAACTTCTTCAGGAATACGCCAATCTACAGTTGATGAGTAATAGAATCTTCAGAAGGAGCCGCCATTCATCACCCACGTGCAAGTAAACTCTTTCTCCAACTCCCTTCATATCAATTGATGTAAAGGAACCATCTGCAACTGGTAACAAAGGCAAGCCACATAGGCAATCAAACTGCAAGGACTTTTGCAAGTCATGTAAGCAATATTCAAGAGTCAGAATCATTGCATTCCTGTCTTTGAATTCACGCTTCCTTCTGATTAAAAGAGTCCTTAACAGTTTAGGAGTCATAAAATGCAATGACGAAGAGATTTCCATAAACCTTTCAGAAAGTGACTGTGGAAGAGTAACGACAGGTTGAGAAGCCCCAGACAACGCTTTTACAAGCTCAGCAGCTGCCTTGGGGAAAGTAAAATCGGAAACACAGCATGTTTGGTTGAAATCCACTGTCCTTCTCCAGCTTCTGTATATAATACACGGAGATTAAAGTCAGCAACAAATTGATAGGTTTCCGTACTGCTGATGCCCAAGGTTCTAACCCTAATGTTATTAGGCATAACGAGAAGAACAAATTTCCAGGGCACTGATGCTATCTTCTCAAGCAAACGACCATATGCAGGGGCAAGAACATTTTCAAGGAGGAAAATATTCCACTCTGAGCGGTTTCTTTTCTTCGCGCACAGCCATATCAGAATCAAACCAAATATCCTGCCATTTGACGAAATTCCACCAGTTCAGGATAAACGCGTGCAATCGTTCTCCCCTTTGACTTTCAACCAGTCAATGTCACCTTGACAGAATTCAAATATGCAGCAACACATGGCCCATAGAACAAATTTTAACAACTACTATTGGCTGTTTCAGATCTTTCTTTTGAGCATTCATCACCTAACATTTTGTTGTTATTCCAATAGTGTGAACTATGACTAGATGTGCTTTGTTCAGTAATTACAACCTTCTGGCATTTATAAGGCAAATTTCTGCCAATGGATGGGCTTAGTTTCTTCAGAAACTGAACTCTATTAATTCCAACACGTCTACTTTCCTTGAAAAAATGAACACATCCTGGGCTTCAGCAGATCCAATTTCAGGTTCTGCATACTCGTTAGCAAGAATCTTCATTTTCGAAAAATCACGCACTACAGTCCTTTCACCTCTTTTTAGAATAACGTCGTCACATTACAACTCCAAAGAAGCCATTTCCTCACGAAGGTAAAGGGCCCTAGCAGTATCGCCCTTCTTGATGTAGCCATCAATCAATTCCTCATACACACTCGCATCCAGAGCCACCAACCGCTCTTTCATAACCCTCAAATACCTCTCAGCATGTTCAACCTTTCCACAACGAGACAAACACCGAACAACAGTCGCGAAAACCGACAACCCTGGATTCACACGTCTGTACTCCATTTCATAATACAACTTCAAAACCTCCTGAACCTCCTCCTTTCTAGCATAACCCTGCATCACAGAGAAAGGTACATCATCCGCCGGCAAAAACCCTTTATCCATCAACAACTCAACATTCCATTCGCTTTCCTCCACTTTACCCTTCCTCTCCACAGCCTCTCCACCACCTTATTAAACAAAACAACCACCAATCAGGCCCAATCCCAACCTCACCATCTCATCAAAAGCCCTCACACACTCCTCTGAATCCGCCGCAACAACAACGTGCCCAAACGTCTCACCGTATGGCCTCAGCCCCTTCCCCTCCATTTCACGCACCAAACCAATAGCCTCCTCAACTCTCCCATCTCTGCAAAATGCTCCAACAAAGGACGTGTAAACAAACGCGTTTGGCTCAAACCCTTTTCTCACCATCTCCCCATACAATCCCCACGCGGAATCCAAATCCCCAAACGCAACCTTCGCATGCAGAACCAGAGACCACACAACGGACTCGTGAAGCAAATTCTTCTGTAACAGCCTCTTCAACAAAACCACGACATCACTCTCCGATTCCGTCAAGCTTCCCCTATCCAAAATCCTCAACATCAAACTACAATTCACGATCATAGAAGGAGAACGGAAAGTACTCCTCCGCATTATCCGATCCAGCGTGTCAACAATCTTCTGCAATTCACCTTCCTTGCACAACGCATCAGTCATGATTCGCAAACTCGTCAAATTAGGGTAAATCCTTCTCCGAATCATGAACTCGTAAACCTCCCAAACCAGAAAACATTTCTCAGACCTTTGTACCCCGTGAAGCAAGGCGTTAAAACTGACGACGGTAACGGAGACTCCGTGCTCCTCCGCGTAACGGCAAACGTGGAACGCGACGTCCGGTAGCCTGCTTGGGCGTAGGCTTGGATGAGAAGGTTCACGGCGAGATCCCGAGAGGTTGAAACTACGACGGCGAGAAGAGAATCGACGAGTGCAGGAACCACGTCTGAGTGAGTGTTTGTTTTGGTGAGAGAGCGGAGAAGACCGCGGCGTGGATGAGTAAGTTGGCTCTTAACAAGAGATTGATGGTGATGGCGTAGGAGCGAGTGGTGGGTTGGAAGGTGGAGCTGGGCCGAGTTGCGGCCCAATGGAAGAAGCCCAATGCGGCTTTTGCATCGGAGGGGGAATTGAACTGCAGAAGGATTTGTTGAACCGACGAGTCGTTTAAGAGGAGAGAACCGAACTGGCGAGTTATGCAGTCCCAGTTTCGTCGCTCTCTGAAGCAATTGCACAGTGCCGCAACGACGTCGTCGTCGAGCTTGGTCTTTGATCACAAGCCCTCAGTGTTGTAGACGATTGACTCTGGAGAGAAGAGCTTGGAAGCCACATGTTGTTTTGCCTTGCGGCCATGGTGAGAATGCGAAGAGTGCTATGTGGACACGTGCACGTGCTGCTCAAATTTACTTGCTGGTAATACGGAAAGTTCTAATCTAATTTTTAAGATTTTAACAGACAGTATATATATAATATATATTAAGTCCTAAATAAGTTTCCTGTGGCTTATTTTTACTTTGTCATTGACATTTTTTTTAAAAATTGTTTTTATCAGTAATTTGATCGCTAAAGTTAAATGTAACGATGTTGTCATATGTTATGTAATCTAAAATCAACATATATGATGTTATTAAAGATTAAAATGAAAGATTAGGGGGACAATATATTTATAAAGACTAAAAAGACATACATGCATGAATTAATTATAAAAAATAATACATTCAAAATATAGGAAAAATTAGGTTTAATCGATTAATTTGTAATTGTGACGATAAAACACATTAAGGAAAATTGTATAATTTTTAAATTGATTTACTAACTAATTTTTAAAATAAGTGATTAATATTATTATAAATGTATTTAAAGTTTTTCATGAACGCAATCCATATGAAAAATATGAAAATAAATAAAGTATTAAGAAAGTTTTAACATGTTATGGAATTTTTATTTTTTTATTATAAGTTTTTGTTAATAGAGAATATTTAATTGACATTAATGTCATTGTATAATAGGTGTTAACAGAAGAATCTCTCTTATTAACGTAAAAAAGTGTGTTAGAGTTGATTTTCTAATACATCATTGCAATTTAATTTGACTAAATGAGTAGGATCAGAAAATGTTTCATTTAATTTAAGTCACGTTTTTTTTTTCTTATCTCAACTTATATTTATGAATTTTCATGTCGACCATTAGATCTTGGATCAAGCTTATTTTGAAACTGTTAATTGTCATTGATCTTAATAAGACATAAATAAAATTTTTATTATAAGATGTCAACTCTTGCTCGTGAACAGTATTCGGTTAATTGTTCCTTATTACAACACCTTGATCAGGAAGCAACTTTAGTTCATTAACTTCAAGGTAAGAAAAAGAACTCCTCCCTCTTAAGTATGCCTTTTTTGATCCTCATGCATCAACGCTCTAAACAGACAGCATCTGGAGAGACACAAGTTTCTAAGTCCAGCCCTCAGAGAATATTAAGTTTTTAGATTCTCGAAGAGCACGGTCGGGAAATTATTTGAGGTCTTTTAGTATGCATAGTTCATTTATACAAGGATCATACAAAATTTGAAAGAACACTTAAGAGCACCAGTGAGTGTTGGTATGGATTTTCAAATTTTTCAATGGTCCCTAATATATGCATCTTCAAGGGACAAAAGTGCCAAATTTTCTAGAACTGATAGCATTCTGCATCCGACCATCAGCTTTGCAATTCCGCTAACTCTATTAAACCGGTTGCATGTAAAACTATGTTTTACCCATTCTCTCAATTCCATAAAATCTTGACAAAATATCCTCTTAAAATTTTGAGGACTTGACCATGAACTCAACGCCCACCAGAATAATCTTCGGCACATCCAATGTCAGTAAGTACTTTCGAGGATTTTCTAAGGCAAAAAATTGGAAATCTTCAGCAAACTCTCTTTGCAGACTCTAAATATTGCAAAACCTTATGCTAAATTTATCCATAGTGTCCAACATACCATTTAGGATCAGAAGAAATCTTTGGAGTTCAGTATCTCTTCTATCAAGTGAAACATGCATAACTTTCATGAATTGAAACTGCATTGATATGATTCTAGAACATTTTAACATTGTCATCACATAATACTTCAAGTGTCAATGAATACAACATCAAACAATCGTAGTAATTAAATTTTTTATTAATAGAATCGAGATCACTTAAGCCTACTTTTAGAAGATTCAACATCAATTATTAGGTAAAAGCTTTCTCGTATTCAATCACTCGCTTCATGGAGACAACTTGAAGCATTATCCTTTTAAGCACCGACAAATTTAGAATGAGAACATTAGTGTTCACTGAATGTTGATAGGTAAGATTCTAATATGATCATCAATTCCTTAAACCTTCTATTGGAGATGAATAATTATTCTTATGAAAATTATTTGATTCTAATAATGTTATTCGACAAATTTAGAATCATGTTAGATTAAAGGACACGAAGATATAATTTAACATAGAAATTAAAACTGTGTCAAAATGAGATTATTTGTAAATCCTTAGAACAAATAAAATTTATTTGAATCCGAACCATGGTCTAATCGTTTTAATTAAATAAAGGATCGTAATGCTTACAATTTAATCTATTGAATCTCTTTAAGTTTTTTCAAATACTGAAGTAAAAAAGTGTTAAATTATTTTAAATTAATATTAACTAGTATAATTATAAAATGACATTAATGAGAAATGTTTAATGTGATAATAGTTGAGCTTGAAATTATATCGTAGTTATTAAGAATATTTTTAAGGAATCGCTTTCTTCTCACTTTATTAGAACTAATATTTTTTTCCCTAAAAAAATTGTTATTTGAAAATTTTTTATAAAGAAGTGGTTTAATATAAATGGTAATTTTTTTTTTTTTCATATATATTATCCGGCAATATGGTAGTCCAACCAGTGGAATAAGTAAAGCATATAAATGACATTACATTACGGGTTTTTTCTACCATAAAACTTCAAAAAAATTCATTTAAAAGTTTGTGAAGTATATTGTAAATTGGTTATAGATATTTATCACCCAAAATATTTACAATCGGAAAAAGTTAAGCTTAGGTCAATGGACATCACAACGGGCCTACATATGAAATTGGGATCTTTCTCCCGCATCCCCTTTTTTTAACATTCACCCCCATAAAATTTGTAATCTCCTACAGTCCCTTAATTAAAATATAATAGAAAATCTCTACATTCCTTATTGTTTTTTAAACTTGCAGAAAATACATATTCTGGCAGACATTTCAGAAAGTTTTTCTGAAAAATTACCATTTCGAATGAAATAGTTTGGAATGTAACTTTTTGAATTTGAAAATATCCTTCGGAATCAATTATTTTCAAGTCTAAAGAAAGTCTGAAATAAATATTTCGAAAGTTATTTTAAAATCTGAAAATACATTTCGAAATATATAAAACATAATAGATGAACAATAGAAATCAAAGTGCAATCTAAAAAGTGAAAATGAAATGCAAGAAATTGAGTAAAGGAAACTTAAAGACATGGTGCGGTAATAGAAATTGTCCAGAAATGTAAACTTGTAACAACAAAGCAAAACTATAAAATTATTTCTACAAACAAGAAAAACTTAAAAATTATTTTTAAAAAGTAGTCAATTCTTGTAAATGTATGTTATCTTACAATAAAAATTATATCTCTTAGAGATCTTCAAAAAGTAATTTTTTTTCTATCACTCAAAAAATCTTTTGAGCTGAAATTCAACAAAAAGAATAAATTCAATTGGAAGTATATGAAAAAAAGTTATGACCCAAAACAGTTAGAAAACCCGAGTAAAGTTGACTTGCCTTCTCAAATTGTCTTAATCTTCTGTCGCGAAGTGCAACTAGACTAAAGCTTTAAAAAATATGTTCTAATATTTAAATTAAAAGCTATGTAAGTCTAGAATTAAACACAAAAGGAATCAACGTAATTGAGCACGTGTGAGGAAAGTTATGCACAAAACAATCCACAATGGTCAAAGCTCTCAGGATGAAATTTTCAACATTACCATTCAACTTTTGCACCATTTTTAGCTTTGAAAATAAATTCCTAAAAAAAATGCAAAATTTACACTAATAATGTAAAATAAAATAAATGAAAATCCTAAAGAAGTGTGATTAGTCCTCGATATATAAATTAAAATAAATAATAAAAAAAAAAATAAAATAAAAATAACAAATATAATAATAATAATAATAATAATAATAATAATAATAATAATAATAATAATAATAATAATAATAATAATAATAATTGTTTCTGTTGGATGGGGGACGAGTATAGATGCTGCACACTTCTCCTGATTGGACGAATATTTGATTGTCTCACTGTTCTACGTGACCGATCAATTTGAGGAGATTGATCTGCAGAAGACACTCTGACGGTCGAGTAAGATATCTTTCGTATGAAGGTTCAATGTAATCAAGTTATGAAAAAGTGTCTTACCCCAAAATTAAACCTCTACTTATGGGGTTTACAATAATCAAACCTATTAATTTACCTCTTAATGGTCATTAATGTCAATATTAATCATTCTTTAATAGCAGTTATAGTATTGATTGCACTTTAACTCTTAAACGGCTGTTGCTCCCAACCGGCTATGTCGTTCTTCTCCACACTCCAACCACTCGGTCGGCTCATCACATAGTAACAAC